TTAAGTGTATAATATTAACAAAAATGTAAATGTATTGTACTAGTATTTATATGTGGAGTGGTATCAACTTAGGTAACACTGGCCATGTTATTCTAATGAACCATCAAGGGCTGGAGGTATAACTCAGTGGTATAGTGCTTATCTAGCATATGTGAGACCTAGGTTAATACTCAGCATCATAAAAACAATGTATGTACACAGACAGACACACACACAAATATTCTGGTAATTTAAATTTGTATATAAGGATTCAGACTGACACTTTGATAATGTTTTTCTATTATACATCATTGTCTCGTTAACATTTCACTGACAAAAATGCTAAGTATTGTGATTTACTTGCTTAAGATTATGCTGCAGTGATGCTAGGTTTGTCTGACTATATCTGTTCAGTCATTCGGAAAAGAATGATTGAGTACTTTCAATATGCCAGATACTATGTCAAGTGCTTAGAGAATGAAAAACTGTCATGATTCCTGCCTTCAAGTATACTTAGATATTATCTAGGAATCTGTCCATTTCTTCTGTGTTTTCCATTTTATTAGAATATAGATTCTCAAAGTAGGTACTGATTAACTGGATTTCTGCAGGATCTTTTTTGATTTCACCCTTTTCATTCTTTTTTTCTTCATTAATTTTATTGGTAATTTTAGGTACACAGTACAATTAACATTCATCATTGGTATCTTGTACCTTTATATGATGCATCTTGGTTCTTATTTTTCCCCATCCCCCTCGTTTTCATTCTTAATTGCATGGATTCGAGCCTTTTCTTTCCTTTTTTTCTTCTTTATAAGGTTGGCTAAGGGTTTGTCAATTTTATTTACTCTTTCAAATAATCAACTCTTTAATTCATTGATTCTTTGTTTTTGTTTTTTTTTTAGTCTCCATTGCATTAATTTACCACTATACATTTCCCTTGTAGGACTGCTTTCACTGCATCCTCTAAGTTCCATTATGTTGTATTGGCATTATCCTTTAATTGTAGAAACTGTCTAATTTCTTCTTTAATCCATTGATTGTTCAGGAGGATGTTATTTAATTTCTTTGTGTTTATGAAGTTTTTGTGGTTTCTTTTGCCATTGATTTCCAATTTCACTGCACTATGGTGTGATAATATGTATGTGATAATTTCAGTTACTTTGCATTTACTTAAGTATGTCCTATGAGCTGACCTAGTCTGTAGTTTATATTTGACAATGTTTTGTGTGAAGCTGAGAAGAATGTATTCTGATGTGGTGCAGAACACTGTAGACATTTACTAAGTCCATTTGCGCAGAGGTTTGGTTCAGTTTTTATATTTCCTTATTGATTTTTTTGTCTAGTTGATCTATCTATTTGTGACAGTAGGGTATATGAATTTATTTGAATTTCTGTGTCCATTAATTTTTTTATATACTTGTGTGTCCTGCTATTTGTTGCATACATATTTATGATTCTTATATCTTACTTTTGGATTGTTCCCTTTACAAGAATATAGTGATCTTTGTCTGTCTTAATCAGCCTTGGATTGAAATCCACTTTGTCTGCAAATAGAATAGCTATTTCTAGGTTCATGTCTCATAGAATATTGTTTTCCATCTTTTGACTTTCAGTCTGTACATTTCTTTTTTAATTAAATGTGTATTTTGCATATAGGATATTGTTGAATCTTGCTTCTTGATCCATTTTACCAGTCTGTTTCTTTTGATTGGTGAATTCAGACCATTTACCTTGGTTACCAGTTATAACTGATAGGTATTGATTTATCCTTGTCATGTTAATTTTCCCGTTGTTGGTTTCCTATTTTTCCCTCTCTGTTTAATTACTTGTGTTGCCTGGTGGATTCATTCTGTTGGGGTTAATGGAGTTATAGTCCTTGTTATTTCTGTCTAGAGTGTCCTTCAGAACATTTTGAAGTGCTGGTTTGGTGCTCATCAATTTTTTCAAGTGTTCTTTGTCACGGAAGTATATTATTTCTCCATCAATTTTTGAAAGATCATTTGCAGTGTATATCATTCTGAGTTGGAAGTTGCTTTCTTTTAGTGACTGAAATATTTTACTCCAAGCTCTCTTTGATTTGAGGGCTTGTGTTGAGACGTCTTCTCTGATTCTGATGGACTTTCATTTATAGGTGATTTTTTTGTTGTTGTTGTTCTCTAGCAGCTTTTAGTATTCTGTCATGTGTTGAATTTCTGGAATTTTGACCATTATATACCTTGGTGTAGATTTTTTTTTTTTTAATCATGGCTAATTGGAGTTGTAATTGCCTTAGTTATTGCATGTCAAATTCTTCTTCCACACTTGGAAAATTTTCTGCCATTACTTCTGTGAACAGGTCTTTTATGTCTTTTGTGCTATCTCCTGCTTTTCATTGCCTTCAATCAATCTTATGTTATTCTTTGTCTCATCTAGCAGCTATTGGATTGATTTTTCATGGTCCCTTGCTATTTTTAAGAAATTTTTCTTTTCATGAAATTGCTAACTGCAATCCTGTCTTTATATCTGCTATTCTGTACTCACATTGGTTCGTTCTGGTGCATATAGTTTCTAACTTGCTGGATATCTAGTTGGATCTCTTTCATGGATTTGATTTCTTTCCTATGTTGGGCATTCATGATTTCCATCATTTTCCTAAGCTTTTTTTAAAAAAATATATATGTATTTGTTTAGTCATTAACCATGTCTTTCATTATGGTAACCATCTCTGTAATTACCTCAGAGATGATTTCTTACTATACTTGAATTTTTTTTTAAAGCCTCATTCATCTGCTTTGTAACTGTTACCACTTCAGAGAGTGCAGGTTGGGTGGCTTTCAAATTGTTCCACCTCATTGTTCCCCAGATTTGCCTCTGATGAACTTCACATCTGGGGTTGCATCTTGCTTAAGTGTCTCCTCATTTTCTTTTTTTAAATTAAGTTTATTGGTACATTTTAGGTATACAATATGATGGCATTCACAAATGGGAATTTGTACCTATCTTGGTTCTTATTTTTCCCCCATTCCCCTGCCCAGAAACCTTACTAGTATTCATAGATTTTAGGTCCTTTCCACCTATGATTTTATAATTACATCTGCCATAGGGAATGTGGAAGAAACCATTTTCCAGAAATAATTTATAATCTTGCCAGGTGTGGTGGCGCACGTCTGTAATCCCAGCACTCAGGAGGCTGAGCTAAGAGGATCACTGTGAGTTTGAGACCAGCCTGGGCTACATAGTGAGTTCCAGGTCAGTCTCAACTACATAGTGAGAACCTGTCTCAAAAAACAAAACAAAACAAAAAAACCAGACAAACAAAAAAATTTATAATCTTGTTGGAAAACCTAGCTATATATACAGAGCTACCCTTGCGTGATGGCTAAGTACAGATGTTCTAGAATCAGACTGTCTTTTGGTTAGGTGTGTGCCCTTGGGCTTCTTCATGCCTCAGCTTCCACAAATATAAAGTGAGGATAAGAATATTACTCCTTCATAGGTTGTTGAGATGAAAAAAAATTAATATATGTGAAGTACCTAGAAACTGCCTGACATGTAGATGATGTCTGTATTTTTCTCTTCTGGCTAGAATGTAAGGTCCACATAATTTGTTTAATGAACTTGTAACAGCTGGATAACAACACTGTAAAGATTGTGAATGAAAAAGTATGTGGATAATATAGACCCATCTTGGGTATTCAAATGAGCATAGATATATTGCGGAATTTCTCTAAAAGCCACATAGATGAGTTAAAATATGTGCTGTGTACTGATACATGATTGAATTGGGTGGATAGAAGTAAGGTTAGAAGAAAGTAAATGAGGGAGAAGACAGATTTTGTTGGATTAATCAGCTGTGTTTTAGGTTAGCATGATTGGTCTTGTTACTTTAACTGGATGGTTTTCACTGTTAAGAATTTATTTAATTTCTTTGGTTTCATAGAATCCTCACTGCAGAATTTCAGCAAAGTCTTGAAAATAGACTGGAATAGACATTAAAAATGTTTATTATGTGTATGCTAATAAGATTATAGGAAATAAAATTTTAAAATGATTAGGGGTCATTGTTACCACTTAAACACTTCTTTTAAACAAATAATATCTTCTGTATTAGAGTTCCCTACAGTAACACAGTCAATAGAAAAAAATATATATAATTATGCAAGGGGCTTTATTAGGTAGGCTTATAGAATCAGACTGAGCGTCCATGATGGCTGTCTCCATGCTGGAGAGCTGGAGGATCCAGTAACTACTCAACTAGAAAGATAGACACCTCGAACAAGAGGGATTGAGGATTTAGATCAAAGGCCTGGAATCTCACTGGAGGATCACTGGTGTGAGTTTCTGTTGGAAGACTGAAGAACTGGAGACCAGTATCCAAAGGCATTGATGAAAACTGGATCTCATCAAAAACAGAACACTTCCTTTTTCTTTCCCTTTTTATTCTCTCCAGGCAGCAGGCCTGCTGATTGGTTCTACCCATATCTGGTGTGGCTCTTTTTCCTTCAGTTTGCTGGACTACATGTCACTTATTACAGACATACCTGGAACTGCCTTTACTGATCTACTAGATGTTTCTTAATCCATTCAAGTTGGCATATAGATTAACTGTCACATCTTTTTTTTTTCCTCATTGAGTTTATTGGTACATTTTAGGTATACACAGTTACATTCATTATTGGGATCTTGTGCCTTTACGTGACAAGTCTTGGTTCTCAATTTTTCACCTTGTCCTTGCCCTCCCTTCACCCCTCCTCTCCTCCCCCTTTACAAACGCTTCACTTTCATTTTTTCATTTTCTCATATTTTTTCCTTTCCCCTTATTAGCTTTCCCCACCCTTCCCACTTTCCCTACACCTTTAGCCCCTTTCTTCCTATTTCACCTTGTCCATTATATCATTAAGGTCTTATGTACTATTATAGTTTATTCACACCAGAGAAACTCTTTGGTATTTACACATGTGTGAATTATTTATTTCACTTAGGAGTATATCCTCAATATGTATCCATTTAACAGTCACATCTTTACTTATACTTTGTAGGTAATTAATAATGCTTGTGCTACTCAAGCCATTGTCAGTGTGCTATTGAACTGTACTCATCAAGATGTCCATTTAGGAGAGACATTGTCAGAGTTTAAAGAATTTTCACAAAGTTTTGATGCAGCTGTGAGTACATTCTTCTTCCTAATTCCAAAATGACCTATTTGTCATAGTTTTTATTTTAATAGACTTTTAAAATTATTTCAGATGAAGGGTTTGGCATTGAGCAATTCAGATGTGATTCGACAAGTGCACAACAGTTTTGCCAGGTAAATAGATTTTATGTTAAATAACTACTGTTTCTTTTTTTTGCTTCTTTGTCTGTCACTGTTTTCTTTTTTTACTGTAGACAACAAATGTTTGAATTTGATGCAAAGACATCAGCCAAAGAAGAAGATGCTTTTCACTTTGTCAGTTACGTTCCTGTTAATGGAAGGCTATATGAATTGGATGGATTAAGAGAAGGACCAATTGATTTAGGTAATCTGGTTCCTGTTCGTGATATTTCTCATTTAGCAAGGGAAAAAAAGTCCATTGTATACACAAAGTTTCTTATATTTTAAAGGTGAAAGTTATAGTAAGGTAGTATAATATGAAGGTCTTAGGTTTTTTTTATAAAATTAATATATAGGAAGGACATGTTGACTACTACAGTTCAATTTAATTTTTTATAGTTTTAATTTTGTCTTAAATTACTTTTTAACACAGGTCATGTAATTTATGTTTTACTTTCCAGTTGATTTTAAAAACTACTCTGAGTGAACTTGAAAAGTTATTCTTGTCATTTTTAAACTAATCATAAGGGACAGCAAGGATTTCTTATTATCATCTTGCATTAAAATATTTTCATTTGGAATTGAACCATTCAGAATTTTAATTTATTGTCTACTAGATAGTTTTCTTTCTAGGTGTGCATTAATATGCTTGCTCTCCTTTGTATAAAGGGTAAATTTTTCCATGTCCTTCTCTATCTTTAATGTTGAGCAAAAATACAGTTATTGAGATTTGGGGGACAATATATGGTTTTGAAACATTACTGAAATAGTAAGTCCACAAAATAAGTGTTTTTTAGTGTTGGGGGTTGAAAGGGGCCTCACCCAAGCACCTTACCACTGAGCTCCAAGCCCCCCACATAATTTTTTTTTTTTTTTTTTTTTTTTTTTTT